TGCCTGTACTTTCAAACGCCACCACAAGGAATGAACGGACCTGAAATATGTCTACTCCTGGCACTTTCCTTCGCGTCCGCGTAGTAGATCATCTGTAATTTCTAATATCTTGATGTCTGGGCGGTTTGGTAGGAGGATCCGTATAAATTGCCATGCCTGAGCAGGTGCACAGAACTGGAATGTGTGGAATAAGGCACTCTCACTCTCTGTTTCCATTTCAGCATCATTCATAAATTTTTCTTTAAGTTTCAAGTTTTTAAATTGAGGGGTTGGACTAGATGATCTTCACCTTCCAACCCCTACCATTCTGTGATTCTGTGAGGTTTTCATAAAAACAGAGCCCGATCTGCCTTTCTAAGGCTTTATGGCATTATACTGCACAGGATAAAATAATTTCAAAAAAATTTTAAAACTAAAAAAAATAAAACTAGGAAATACTGACTGCTATTCAGTGATGGGCTTTCCTGCATCTGGAGGCAAACACTTTCTCAGAGGTTCTTAAGAACTTTTGCTGTTCATAGCAGTGAAGAAACAAGGAAAGCTAATTAGCAACTTGCTTCCTGTGTCCTGAGGCTGTTTGTAGTCACTGACAGTGGGTGCCAACATTTGAGAAAGTAACTAGGGGCAGAAAGTTTGCCCCATGACATAATCTGTAAATCCTTGTAGTCCCTCAGACCAAGAGCTCTGAGGTTGCACATATTAACAGAGAACAGCAACGTTAATCAGATGTTATTTCTAAGGCCTTATTTGTATTTATACTGATTTATCTAACGCAGTCGGTGTCGCTGATTTTTGACAGATGCTGCCATTACGGTTAAATCTGTTTCAAACGGTGTAAGTGGGATCCTTCAGCTATTTTTGGCCATCCATTATCAGTGATAAATTGGTAGCAAACTGTGCTTTAAGTGAGGAGATGGTTTGTGCGATATCAGGTATTAAGGCATTTTTCAGCTTTATGGCATGTTTAGCCGGGGAGTCATTTTTTTTTTGCTGAAGAGCTTCTTGGTCTCTAATTGTACTTTGAGCCACTGGTTCAGGTGGGTCGTGTTGTGCAGATCCTGAATTATTTGGGCCTTTGGCATTTCCATCCAACTGATTAGAAGTGCTCTGTGATAACAGGAGCCACAGTGTTCAGCCACGTCTAGCTTGGAGCCTGTGCCCTTCCTAAAAGCCGAATTTATGGCAGCTCAGGGCGTATATTCCAAAACTAACCCTTCTTTTGGAAGCCTTGAAATGGCACATCAAGTACAGGGATGGTCAAGGACCAAAAGAGGTCGAGCTGAAATTCCTAAAGGAGCTTTGCAAATGGGTTTTAAAGATCGCCGCAAAAATGAAACGCAGAATTTAACGTGTAAATAATTACACGACGGACATGATGTATCTAGAAAAATAACATGCCATGCATTTATAAAGCTTCATAAGCCTCGTTTGAGAGATTTCCTATCTTCAAAAAGAAGTATGAGGTGACTTCTCAATTAGTTCCACTGATTCCCGAATGAGAAGTCCCCTAAGGTCCGTGGGTTGGATTCAGAAAGCTTTTACCAGTACAGCAAGCTGGTGGAAAGTCAGGGGGGATAAGCCAGATAATGACTTCCAGTTGCTGCTGAAATTAAAGTTGATGAAATGTGTTAAATTGGGTGAAAACAAGTTTGTTTAACATAGTGTGTCTGGTTTCACAGGAAAGAGGGAGAAATTTGTGGTATGTTTAATTTCTTTTTGCTTTGCAGATGAATGCGGTTGGAATAACTGAAAATGTGAAAGGAGATCACCGGAAATTTGAAATCTGGTACAGTGGGCGAGAAGAGGTCTATGTTGTGCAGGTTTGTACCTTCAGAGATCTGGGTATTGGTACATCCTCATATCAGTGTTAAGGAAATGTCTCCCATTGAGCTTTACAGGATTATCGTACATTTATCTTGCATTTCTTCTTCCTCTTTGCCGTGTCAGCATTCACAGAGCTGTCCCCACGCCTGGTCCTTGGTGTCCAGCCCAGAACTGTAAAAATCATCTTAAAGTGGAGACAGAATTGCTCCTTGGAGATAGAGCCTTTTTTTCCAGATGAAGTCTCAAATAGATGAGTAGTTGGAAAAGAAAAAAAAAAAAAGAAAAAAAGATTTTACTGTGCTTAATAGCTTCTGTGATTGAACTGGGAAATGGGCTTCATGGGCACAGGCCGTGTGCGCTCCTCTATGATTAGATGTCAGAACTGCTCCCAGGGCAAGGCTTGGCCTCCGAGGTGCTATTTCCAGTAGTGTTTCAACTCATCTACAAAACAGTAGCCCGAATGACCTGATTTCCTCCTCTTTTTTTTTCTTTTATAGCATTTTTAATAGCAATTTATGGTGGTGAAATGTTTACCTAATGAGGAGTTCATTAGGAAAATGTTGCTCGTTGATCTTTTTCTCTGCCCAGCTTTTTCTCTCCGTGTTACAAGACAATAGCCAGCCAACTGAAATTCATAAAGCAGATCTGTGTAGCCAATTACATGTATGTTCAAAAGGCAGATTTGGCCCTTCAGGTATTTTGTAAAAGACACAAGGTGCATGCACGCACATGCTTTTGCCCGCACTCCTTGCATTCCAGTGGTAGCTCCACAATTTCCACTGTTCTTTACCTGGATGTAGTGGGGATCATCAATTTTAAAAAATGAAGGATGTTTAAAATTGAATGATGGCTTTGGATAAAAGAGGATTTTGGACAGTTACAGCATAGAGAAGTAAGATTTTATTCATATGTTATAATGGATGATTCTTAATTCAAAATTCAGACAATTTTCTCTTCTTCCAGGCCCAGACAGTAGATCTGAAGATGGCATGGTTGAATGAAATAAGAAAAATTCTGTTCAAGCAGCAGGAGCTAATAAAAGGTACATTTAACCAATTTCTTTCTGGCATTCACTCTGCAGCAAAACCTTTCCTATTTTCACATTGCTAATCTTCAAATCCACTCATTCTCATCAGAGAAACGCTTTATAGGAAAAGCCTAGTAGCAACATCCCGGAGTGAGGTCTTACGTTATGGGGAAATAGCATGACTTAGAGCAGTAAAGGCCTGGTGCTTATGTGAAAATGAATTACAGAAGTGCTTTTTTTTTTTTTTGTCATTACCTTGGGGATTATTTCACATTTGTTGTCATAGGGGATTATTTGACATTTGTTATCATAGGCTTAATTCAGCAAGATACATAGCAGATGGCTAGTTTTAAGCATGTTAGGGTCGTCAGTGGCACGCTCACTATTGGATTTGTGCTAACGCACCGTCTTAATCACAGCTAAGTCTGGGCTCTGAAGGAGACTCCGGGTCTGTTTTTCTCTAAGCAGAAATCATTATGGTTGTGCAGAAGGCCCAGCTTTCAAAATGTTGCTTTAAGCGTGACGGTTACTGGTAACAAGGCGGATTTTAAGCTGGTGTTTGTCCTCCCTGCAGTGGAGAAGCAGCAGCCTGGCTCGTGCGTGGACCAGCTCCCGCTCTCCCCGCAGCTGAGCGATGGGTGAGTCCCAGAGCCACACCAGGGGTCTCTCTGGTGCCCTCCCAGTGCTTTCTGGCCCTGTCCTGGCTCTGTGCTGTTTCCGTGACCCCACTTCAGTCCGAGACCCACCCTTTGGTGGCTGTGGTGTGGGGACAGGGGCTGCCGGGGGCACTCTCTGGTGCTCGCTTGGCAGCTCCGCAAATGGAGACAGAGATCAAAGACAGCACCCGAATTTGGAAGAAGAGATGCTGGATGAATTCTGTTTCCCTCCCAAAAAATTCAAACCAGGCGCTGAAGTCCTTAACCTTTACAGAAACATACATTAAAAAGTACCATTATTATTTCTGACCCCATTTTACAAAACCTCCTGGAGTTTGCGTTCGTTCATAAAGTAAAACTTAAGATAAATTGGAATTTATATTTTTATTTTTAATCATTCAGAAAGCGGCAGAGAGCCTCCATAAGCTCAGAAGAGAACGACTCGGAGCGCACCAGCCCGGTGATGCTGGAGAGTGGGCTCCTGTCCCCCCAGAACAAGCCCCACAGAAGTACGGACCCTTCCCCTTCCTTCAGAACACACTTTGCAGGTGCTGGGGTACCCCCAACCTGAGCTGCACGCTGTCTTGCAGGCTGGCCGGGAATGTCACAGTCCCTGGAAATCTGCGAGGGGCTGGAGGAGTGGTCGGGTAACCAGTACCTCTCCAACTGCTCGGACACCGAGGAGGAGGATGGGAACCAGCTGGTTAGTACAGAGATGCTGTCGGCCCAAAGCTCGGGGTGCTGCCAGTTTTGGTCGTTTCACTTTGTTTTGCCTCACTGGGTAATGGATGTATCTTACCCACGTCTCTCAGATTTTCCATATCTCAATTTGGGGAATGAGAAGATGTCTATGCCAGAGTTTATTGAAATAATTTTAATTAAGGTGGCTGATAGGGCTCTGTCACGTTCCCTGCGGCAGGCAGAAATAACAGCTGTGTGATATGAAATGCAGCTAAATAAGATAATTTTTTTCTTGTTATCACAGTCTCCAGGAAAATACAAAGCCCTTGCAGACTGCAAGAGGAGAGGATCAGAGGACCTGCTGGTGAAAAATGGGGATGAAATTCAGCTTTTGCATGAAGATGGTGAGGGACAGTGGTAGGTATTTTAGGATTACTTTGCCTTATCTCTAAGAGCCTGCAAGGCAGTCCCATGCAACCTGGCAATACACTCACTGCAGCTTCCGATTAAGCTTTAGACTATTCCAGAAAGCTGGAG